CAGTGGGCAGAGAGGGAGACATACTCCCCCAAAATAGTAAGGGCACTCGCAATAAAAGAAAACAAACAACAACAATTCAGGCAGACAAATTGAAATGCAATCCGAAGCATATCAAAATGGCATTGTGAGTGGTATCTACNTTTTTTTTTTCAATTTATGTGTAGGTATCTCATGAATAGAAAATATCCAAACTTTGGACGAAATTCANATATCAAAATGGCATTGTGAGTGGTATCTACTGAAATTTACCGGAGTAGCATTTTCTTTTACTTATTTGCTTGTGCTTATACATATGTATGTAGTTAACACATTCGCACGTTCCTAACTACTAAACCGCAAGTGACTGAAGAAATACATAGTAATTGCAAGCCATAGATGAAATGCAATAAATATTCAATAAACAAATTGGATAATCGCGAATTTTGACATAAAGTAATACATACGTACAGATGCTTACACATAAATATTTTTATACCACAAGCGTAAAGAAGTTGGAGTGTACTATTGTAACAAAATTTCAATAACAAAAAATAATAAATAAATAAAGTGTTTTTGTAGTAAAATGTGAAGTGGACGATAAGTTGTAATATTATGGTAGATAAGAATATATAAGCTATTCAAACGTACATACATACAAACATATGCATACATATATGTATGTATGTATGTATTGTTTTGTGTATGCCGATATACATTTTTCAGCGCTTAATCGTAAAAAGTTCAAAGGTCAATTTGGCAATAAAGTGCATGCACAACCATCATTACGCAGCTACTATTCCCTTACTTCCAAAAATGCGTTTCATAAATTGAACGAAAATACTTTTAAATTTACTAAAACCATTCACATGTGTGCATATACAGAGACCCAACAGATAACAGATTATCCCCGACAAAGCGTCAGCAGGGCAAGTTCTCATTTGTTTTCATTGATAAGACATCCAAATTCATAAAAACAAGATTTCACTTGCTACAAAGTCAATAAACATCAATCGCAAAAACAGTTGTATGGAGAGCCTTGGTTAATTAGCATCGACAAAGAGTAGCAAGTTACCATACAAGCACAGTATATATGTGCATAAATGTAAAGACAAGATTTGCTGGCGTACGTGATTCCAATACATAGCATAAAAAAAAAGTAAGCAATAATTTCAAAATCGCCAACATAAACAGAGCATTCATCCACGATGACAAGTGCTTTGGGTCGTTTGCGTTTAATCACCTTTGATGTCACCAATACATTACTCCAGTTTCGTACAAGTCCTGGCAAGCAATATGGAGAAATTGGTGCACTCTTCGGTGTACTTTGTGACAATGATGAACTTGCAAGAAATTTTAAGACAAATTGGTAAGTGCGTTCGTTGGAAAAACAAAAACTGGGTTGATTCTTATAGATTTATTTTTTTTTTTTCAATTTATGTGTAGGTATCTCATGAATAGAAAATATCCAAACTTTGGACGAAATTCAAGTATTGGCTGGCAGCAGTGGTGGCATCAACTTATTGGTGGTAAGTTGGCACGAATAACCAAAATACTTGCATTTCATTGTGATTTAAAAAGAAGTGGTGATTATTTTATCCTTATACCCAATGGACTCATAATTTTTACACTTTTACAGCCACTTTTGCTGACAGCGGTTCCTTGATCCCCGAGGAGAAATTAGGCAATTTGGCCAATCATCTGCTGGAGCTTTATAAGACTAGTCTTTGTTGGCAAAATTGCAACGGCAGCATCGACTTACTCAACTATTTGCGCCTGCAACAACAACTCGCACCCACCAACCAAAGCGATAATGAAGTTGGAAATAATCAGAGCAATAATAAATCGCCAATTTCTCTTGGGGTCATTGCAAATTTTGATCCGCGCTTGGACATTTTATTGCGTAATCTCAAAATTCAACATTATTTTGATTTTGCAATCAATTCTTATGATAGTAACGTTGAGAAACCAAACCCAGAAATATTTCATTTTGCTATGCGCCTGTCTGAGTTGAAAGATTTAAAACCTGAAGAATGCTTACATATCGGTGATGGACCCACTACAGATTACTTAGCAGCGAAAAATGTTGGCTGGAATTCCGCACTGATACATGAGAAGAATGCTAGCTTACTAATCGGAAAATATGGCGAACAAGTTGAGGAGCATTTCGTTTTCCCCAGTTTATATGATTTTCATAAAAAGTTCTCAAATAATTCAATAAAGTGGTGATGCATTTTAATTTTAGCTAATTACTACTACCATTACTGCTACATAGACAATAAAAATAAAATTAAACGAACTCATCTGTGTGGACGGCATCTCAATGTTTGTGTGGTTGTATGTCTCCTAGTTGTATAGAATTTTTTTCAAATAGTTCCACAAGCGGATCTTGTGGTTTGTTACTTTCCTTATCATATTCGATTCCAATAGCCCATAATGACTCTAAATCGTATTGTTTTCGCGCTTCTGGTGAGAATACATGTAAGGCTATGTTACCTTAAAAAAAATGAATTTGTCTAATTGATTCGAATTTCTACATTATTATTTTAATTTATATCTACCTAAATCCAATGCCATCCATTGACGACTCTTCTCGCCTTCAATCTTTGGCGGCACCTCACCCTTCGTGCGCTTAACTTTATACATGCGCCTCACAAATTCCGCAATCGCCAGCATATGTCTGTAGCTTCGTCCACTACAAACCACCATATAATCGACATAATTCAGATCTTTGGGTACAGAGCATACAAAAATATCTTCGGCGCTCTCTTTGCGTAATACGTCTACAAGATCCTCTACATCAAATACACCATGCTCGCCATCTAGAAATAACTGATGGAAAATATTCGAATATAGTACATAAACATTACATTACGATTCAAGTTTAGGCCCAAGAACTCGTCGTTCATCGTCTGCTTTGGCTCTTCTTCGGCCTCGTAACGTTGGCGCTCCTCTTCGACATCAAATATCTCGGTGGCATCTTCGTCGTGAAATATTTGATATTTGTTTCTTATTGTTCCTGATATTGTATTGTGAACCTAAAAGTTTAATTAATTAATTGCTAATTTTAAATGAGCTACCGCTAAATGTCTCACCTTTGATGCAGTGGCCGCTTCTGTTAAGGGCTGGGATTTTGTACCCGTATTGCTGATTTCATCTTTTTGTGGCTCCGTTTGTGAAAATTCATGATGGAATGCACTCAGCAATGGAATATTGATTCTATTAGCACTAATGATGCGGAATATCTTAGATTTTAACATAATTTACGGGTTTTCACGATTTTTATAACGAATTCCCTGAATTTTTTCCGTTTACAAAACAGCTGTTGGCGCGAACATCTGATGTTTTATTCGTGGCGACATCTGTTGGAAAGTGCTATCGAAAGGAAAGGTACAGGAATGAGAAGACGTTTGATTAATCAAGCATTTGGAATTTATCATCGACATTAATTGTTAAAATTTTAAATATATTTTGTATACTTCAAAAACTAAACATTTTAATATTTATGTATGCCGCGACTAAAAATAAAAACAAAAACTTGATTCGGTTAATTGTAATTTCAGGCAGCCTGTGCAATACTTTACTAGCAGATGGCGCTGTTGCTTTTCGGGCGCGAAAATGGAGTACAACAAGTAGCTACAAATTTAAAATTAAAAGTATACAATTAAAGAGTGTAAAAGAAAGTGTGTAAATTCGTATTACATTACATTACAAATTATGTGTTTAAAAGTATTTCAGTGAAACGGTGTTTGTGAAAACTAATTTATGAGCTAAAGAGATTATCGAACTTTTTGATGAACAGGAAATCGGAAATGCAACTTGCAGCTGCGTCTTGGAATAGTTAAAAATTTAAATAAGAATTAAATAGAACGCTTAAATATGAGATTTAATTATAAAATTATATGTAAGTACAAATCTTTTATATCAAAGTTACTTATGTTTAAATGTTGTTACAGCCTAGATCAGTCTGTCTCTCAGTCGTTTTTGTAATATAAAACAACCCCATAGGATGTCGAGAAATGTAGCCGAGGTGGCTGTCTGTTGTTGTTGTTGTAACAGCACACACATTCTCCAAATAGTTTTGGAGATGTGTAGCGGGAGTGACAGTCCTTGGCCAGATATAAATCTGGGTAGTTCCGGTTACGTTAACCCGACAGTCGTGGGAACGGTGTGACAGTGAGGGTGACTGCCTCATGACCTTGTTGTTGTTGTTGTTGTAACGGCACTACTAAGCCCATGATACTAAGCCCTGCCTGTATCAGTTAGCCTGTCTACTGTTAAGCCCAATTAACGGGGTGACAGTGAGTATTGTCTGTCTCATAACCTGTTGTTTGTTGTTGTTGTAACGGCACTACTTAGCCCTGCCTAAATCAGTTAGCCTGTAAACTGTTAAGCTAGTGGGCTGAAACTATCGGTGGCACTATCGATGGTTTTTGACTATCGTACCATCGATAGTTTTTTTTTTTCTTACATTATTGTTGTTGTAGCGGCTCTCTCTGGTGGTTGAGGGAGTCTCAATTGTCTCATACGCTGGTGATTGCTCGATAATGGGGTCTGGGAATGGAGTTGATGACTTCTGCTCGAAAGTAAAGCATTTGACACAACCTGGCAGCACCTTTTAACAAAAAAAAGATCGGCAGCGTACAGTGAAAGAAGGATGGATTCGTAAAAAAACTAAATATATTTATATCTGATATTGAATAAAGTAAAATATCTGATACTGAATGATGAAATATCTGGCATTGAATAAAATAATTAGCTTAAAAAAAAACGATTTTTTTTAATTAGCAACGAATCCTTCCGATTCGTATGAAGTTTTGCTTTGCTTTTTAAAGCCGTAAAACATTTTAATAAAAATTTCGCAAAATTCTTGCAAGAAAATGGCTATGAGAAGTGTCTTCCTCTCCTTCAAAACTTCTGAAAATGGACATAGCATCTTTTCACTCTAAGCAAGCGATTTACTGACTCTGTAAGAAATATTTTTTTACAAATATGCCAAATTGTAAATCAGCGAATTTTCCACATTGTTTACCATTCTTAATATTTATTCGCAAAATATTCTCTTATAAATAAACAACTTTTCAAAAATACAATGCATACAGTAAAATCTCTTACATTCATGTGAATTTTGTATAGTATTTCACTTCATAACTCACAAAATTTTGTCTAAAATATTGCAAAAATATCCTTTTTTAGTATTGCAGTGCATTGGCATATAGTATACAATTTTGCATGCGAACTCACAAACAAATCTTAGTATACTGCTCACATTCAAATAATATATAAAATAATTTTTTTTTGAGCAAAATTTTATTGCACTCGATGATGAAAAACTACAGTTTTTAAGTGGTATTTTCATCGCCTTACAGCATAGGGGTATAGATTTTTAAATAAAGATTTTTCTACTAGTCTCTTATTTCTATTTAAAATAATGGGATTTCCTTCAAAAATTATATCATCTACAACTAATCGTGCTTAAAACGATTTTCTTCTGTTTCTCTAATTATAGTCCATATTTATTCAGTTTGCAGGCAGGAAAATGTACACAAATTATGATGCATTCATTGATGCCTAGCTTTCCCATATTTCATCACGTTGCTTAGCTGCCAACATCTTACGTTCTGGAAATGCAGAAAAAGATAGCAATTACATATGTGCTAAACATACAAAGGCAACTAAAATATTTGAATACAAAAAAAAAATGTACCTTTGGCTTCACGTAAAACACGTATTTCATTCTCTCTTTCTGCGGCTGCTGTTTTCAGTCGCACACCCAGAGCGCCGGTTACCAGACGACGCGCCAGTGCCGCACAAGTTTCCGGTCTCTGACGATATGGTTGCAGTGATGCCGCACACTTCTTGGCCTTTAAGCGAGATTCAGCTGTAGCTTCAGCTAATGGTTTCAGCTTTACGAATGGGTGGCCCATTGTTAAAACTTCAGCAGCTGTTATAATACAAAATTTAAAAAAAAAGAAGAAAAATGATAGCAGTTTTTCTTTGCTTTTTTTCAGTGTGCGCAAAACTGCTTACCAATGCGTGAGCTGCTGAACACAGCCAATGCATGAGTATCGTCCACCCATTTTATATCGAAACCCGATTCTTTGTATTGCGAAAAAACCATAAGAAGGTCATGATTCTTAAACTCAACAGGGAAATTTGATACTTCAAGTACGTGCGGAAACTCTTCATCATTGAGTATGGACTGCTTTGTTAGATATGCCTGCGAAAAATGCAAAAGAAATGTTTACTCAAAAACCAACTTTAATAATCGAAAATTTGCTGCACTCACACTGTAGTTCATTTTTGGTAATTCTATCTTCACTTTACCCACTGAAGCGGTGAGTTCTTGCATAATTTTCGGATCTAAACATTCTCCACTATCATCAAACATAGATTCCCAATCATCTTCCTCCTCTTCCTCCTCTGTGGTACTATCCACCGATCGATTAGCTGCCGGGACGGGAATTTGCAAAGTGTTATTAGGACTTCTTTGACTCGAATCGTTGTCATTTTCTGTGGACTGTTCGATTTTCTCGGGAATTTCGAGCACATCTGAGACGAATGTTTGCTTGATAATGCGACGATTGCTGCGATTTATTTCCTGCAAATAGAAAGCGAAAACTTTGATGAGGAAATGGTGAAATGGGCTTGTTTCCATATCCAATTGATAGAACTTGCTGAAAATTTCGACATGTGTATGTATGTATTTATATCACCGAAGCGTGTCCACTCAGATGATTAATATAGCAGTGATGAATAAGTTGTGTGTCCGTTTGTTTCTGTGTGCATGTGTCCAGCCGAGGAGAAAACTCAATTAGTACCCATGCCCAAGAACAAAAATGTCTATACACTAAAATACAACTATGTCATGTTCCTTTTTGAAATCTTAGTGGACAATTGGCTAAAAAAAAGTATTTGTGGCAGCATTTTTTTCTGCAAGTTTGGACAAGCCAAGAGACCGCATACAGTGCGGCTATTCGACTGAACACCTTAAGTACTTAGGGGCCAAACAGTAAATATGGTCATGGAAAGATTTTGACGGGGCTCTCCCATCCGGTGTACTATGTGCTACCAGCCCAAACGCACAAGCAACCTGCGAAACCTTAGCAAGCACAACATGAGCACTGCAATTACAGTATATTGCCAGATCGTCAGACAGATTAGGCTGGTCTAGACGAGGAAAATACAGTGCAATTTCTCTGCTGTCGTCTTAAGTAGTTTTACTCACTGTTTACTGTTTCCGTTCCAGTCAGGCTTCAGAGCAAAGCATAGCTGCTCCACGGCTATCTTAAAATCTTTAGAAGACGTTAGAGTACCATTTGACAAAAATCGGAATGTGGTCGGAGCAAGCTGGAGAATCCATTCATGGCGTATTTTTAAGATTTTGGCTCAATTATAAAGTTAATTCGACTGACGACCCTAAATATATAATCAATTTAAAAAAAACTGTAGTTGAATTTTCATCAAAACACATATGAATTTATATAAAATAATATTTTATATTGACTTTGTAAATTTATAAAATTTATGCAATGAGAATTATTAAAATATGCAATTATGTAATATTATCTCTTGAATATCTAAGTTAAAATATTTTATGCCTATAACGTAAGAAAGTGTTA